AATTGCCTTCCTCTTCAGATTCATTTCCATGTTCATGGTTGTCTTCGACCTCTTGAGTATTCTTTTGGTAGTTGGTGCTCTTATCCTCTTCACTGCCTCTTTCTTCAATGGGCTGGCGGATCGATCAAATTTTTCCTTTTATCCAAGGCAATATCCAGTACAAACCAACTATGACTATTATTGTAATCCCTCAAAAAATAACACTCTGAATGTGATTGTACTCAGCCTTATAGTTTTTTTGGTTGAAAGTAATAACTCAACAGACTTTCCAACCTTTGAAGGATAAATTACTATTTCTCCTCCTTTGCCTTCTCGAAACATGACATTGCCCAAAACAGCCAATGAACTACCATATTTATGAAATGCACTCGACGTTCTTCTTGAGATGTTGGAACAATGTTGCCAGTACGAATATCTGTTGCTACTTGTTCTAGTACACCATAATAACACAGTGAGTAGTATCCTTGTGACATATAGATATTCTCAATGGTAACTCCATTCCCATTACTGTCAGCTAGAGTGAAGGGGACAGAAGCAATTTCCAAGATTTCATGCCTTTTATCCTTTGTTTTGAATACGTTTAACTGAGCTACTCCTTTTTGATGCTTTTTCTCTGACTCATATTCTACACATTGAGAATTTTGACCTTTTACATTTCCTTGAATGATAATATTTGACAGAGCACCATTCGATTGCAGTAAATCGTTACGCAAAGTATTGTAGTTGCTGTAACATTGAGCAGCTTTCTTTAGCACAATTTCATACTTCCTCCTACTTAGCCATTTGATTATACCACCAAGAGCTATACCAGCAATACCGAAACCAAGCCATATTCCTGAACCTAATCGATCCTTGAGTTGCTCATTCATCTTGCAGTAAAAAGAAGAGAAGAAATGACTGATATGTAGCTAATATTTGGATCACTCCCATAATATATGCACTATGAATAAGATTTGATATTTTTGCCACCCATTCTCATCCCGACTGTAATATAGTTTATCATAAATTTATTTTATATTTTATCATAGTTAATCATAATGTATCAGTATGCATTATTGTAAGATGTGTTCAGCAAAAAATTACATAATAATAATAATAATAAAAGAGGGACAGGGGAGAGACAGAGACAAAGAGAGAGGGAAAAGCCCTAAACACCAATAATAATAATAATAACAATAATGATAATAATAATACTAATGAGTTAGATCTAGTACCATGAGCCCAGCTATATATAATAGCCAAAAGACTCACTCTTTCTTTTTATCATTCATTTTCTCCTCTTTTTTCGTTCTGTAGATTGCAAAAACTGCTATACCTATTAGTACGATCCCTCCAAGAACCAGTACTGAAGCGAACATCCATTTTAGCCTTGTCTTTGGAATTAATGATTGAAGAGATTTTCCAACTTTCATGGGATCATAAATTATAATCTCGGCTTTACCTCCTTTAACCTTAAGGTGAGCATTACCTATGACAGCTACGTTGCCACCAAATACCAACATATCATATTTAAGATTTTCATATCTAACAAGTCTATAAGTTAAGTCACTACTTTTAAAATCTATTTCACATTTTATATCACAATGCTCTAACACTGAATTGAACTGATCTGAATCGCTTATCTTTTTGATTGTGACAGGTATTTCACTGGATTCACTTTTCAGTGCAAAAGGAATGTCGAGCTTAGGGGGAGGATCTGGAATATACTGCCCAGATATGGTAGGATTTGGATTACGAAATTTTCTTGAAATGCTCTTGTCGGCGTCTTTGACGATCCCTGCTGGTCCATGCTCATAGATACTATGGTATAGCTCATCTTTCAATTTAGATTCAATACGATCATCATCTAGTGGTGTGACTTCCCCTTCTATAAGGACATTTGAAATAACTTGTGTATCACTAGATTTGAGATCCTTCATCAGCTCTTTATAGTCCTTGTAGGGGCGAGGGGCTTTCTTTATTTGGAAAATTTTTCCATTGTATAGCAAGTATCCAAAGCCCAAACCAGAGATGACGCCTGAAAGGCCCAAACCAATTAAAAACCCAGGCCAATTATCGTCTACTATTTGAGGCATGATGTGCTCCAGTCCACCAAGAAAACAGATTACCGGTATGCTACTATGCTGCAAGCTTGTGCAAAGTGCAAAAAGCTAAAATTAATATGTATGCACTGCAATCCAGCCCCTCCCCTAGGCTAGATCATAATGACCTTGCGCATGCGCAGTATATCAGATCTTTATTTTAATTTAATTTATTTTAATAGAGAAGGCGCCATAATCCATTGAACTTAATACGACTTGAACTAGACCGAACTCGACAGAACTCCATAGAATTGGGCAGAACTCGAGTCTACCTTCACTTGAACTCTTGAACTTTTGTTCTATTTTAGTTCAAAGTCTCAGAACTCCTGGGAACCTCATTTAAAAGGCGTTTCTATTCTTTATTCAGATACTTTGAAAAGAGCTCAAATCCAGTCATGGATCTTGATAGTTTAGATGCTCCAATGTTTGTTGATTTTGATATGATCAAGAGAGGAGAAGAAGAAGGAGAGGGAGACGAATGGTTTGGTACGTAAACTAACCATAATTATTACATGTACGTATTATTATGTATAGACCTCTTCAGGTGAGATTGACGGTGGCCTATGAATATCATTACTGTTTATTACGGTATCCACCTACGGTGATAATTGGCCGCCATTTTGGACGGCAAGATTCAATGGAGGATGAATGAAGAAAAGGCAAAACTGATTCTTTTCGTTGGCATGGAGCTTTTTCAAGCTACAAAAGCTGGTTGGAGGAAAGAATGGTCGCTGCTAAGCATCTCCTAAAAGGGATTTGGTGCAATATGAAGCATATTCTTTAATAGAGCTTGCTTTCTGCATTAGCCCATTCATACTCCATAGAAAGTTGCTGTCCACGAAAATTATTTCAGAGTCAGCCAGGCTCAGTCACGCCCCTTGCCGTATATCATTCTTTGACGTAATTCATTCTCACCCAAAGAGGTCTATAAATTAATTAATATAATGGGTTCTTAGCCACACCTCTTTTGTGGAGCCGTCTACTTTATTATGATCCTCAATAAAATATGGTTATACATCAGACTTTACTTGCATTTGAACAGTGAATGCTGTGAGTGGTATAATGACATTTCCTTAATAATAAATGATTTATGGAAAATTACACCTTACACCTCATGTAATGATCCAATACAATGAGTTATACAATATTTAACACTTCCCTCTCCTCTTTCTCCGTCCCTCCCTCTCTCTCTCTCTCTCTCTCTCTCTCCCTCTCTCTCTCTCCCTCTCTCTCTCCCTCTCTCTCTCTCTCCCTCTCCCTCTCTCTCTCTCCCTCTCTCTCTCTCCCTCTCTCTCTCTCCCTCTCTCTCTCTCCCTCTCTCTCTCTCCCTCTCTCTCTCTCCCTCTCTCTCTCCCTCTCTCTCTCTCCCTCTCTCTCTCTCCCTCTCTCTCTCTCCCTCTCCCTCTTTCTCTCTCCTTTAGATAAAAAGATTGATGATGATGATGATACATTCACTAATACCTCTTCTTCTCTAACTGATAAAGAATCTAAACTAACTCAACTAGCTTCTCCTGCCCAACCGGTTGCTAGGGAACAACCTCACGTTGCTAGGGAGGAACCCACAGAACCTAACAAGGAACCTTCGAGTGATGATCCTGTTAAATCAGCTCTTGCCATCATGGCATCAAAACCTCCTCCAACTC